TTTAACTTTACATTTCGCGGCTCGTCGGGACCACCCGACCTTCCGCACACCTACACGTCCGAGGATCATTCTACCGAACCCCTTTGTGTTTCCCTCCTCGCGGACACCTATTTCAATTCGTTCATTGACCCGAGAATCCGACACTGGTATTGGTCATCTATCCTTTTGCGATCCTTTTGCTCGCCTCACGGCTCTTGATTACTTGGATTCGGAAAGGATTGCTAGCACCTGAGCCGATACTGTCTCGTACTAAAGCTCGTCGGGTACCACGAGCTCGAACTACTCGTACCTCGAGGGGCGTTTCGGATCAAGATCGAATCAACGGGAAACTGTATTTTGTCCCTGGTTCAAGAGCTTATGAGAAAACACTTTGCTTTCGTTTCGTGCAGATTCCTTTACGTGGCCGAGCATTTGCATCGTTGCTTACGCCCCGACGCGACGCGTTGCTTCGTCGAGTTCATTGGATCCTCGCCTATCGTTCTCGTGCCAATACACTCCCACCGATCTGCGCTTTTGCGTCCTCTATTGGATTACTTTTTGACAAAAATCATTACTCCTCGAGATCCGTGTAATTTCAAATTTTTCCCGTTCAAAACTGTTTTCGTTTTATCTTCGGTTACGGAACATACAGGGCGTTTCGTTTAACTGGAAACGGTGCAATAGCTCACGAAGGATTAAAGTGATCAAAAAAATGTTCGTGCAAAAGTTGTTTGGTACAAAAGAGGACATTACGTGGTATAAATAATTTTTCTATAAGTGTAGTAGTGGGGGAGATATCAAAGTCAAGTTAATTTTTTTAAATGGAACCCTGTATTTTTTTATTTATATTATGATAGTGTTTGTTGAGACGAATATAACGAACTGCCACATTGTTTTGATAACTTTAATCCTTCGTGAGATATTCCACCGTTTCCAGTTAAACGAAACACCCTGTATAATTAAGCGTACGGATAAATATTTCTTTCAGTACTGCAAATCGCGGGCGGTGCATCCACAAAGCTCCGTGTCTTGAAACGGTAATACGAGGCGAAGCACACACATTTTCAGAATATCGTTACCGCTAATTCTCTTGTTTTCAGAAGCAGAAACTCTCTGCTGCTCGCGTCTACTGTTTCACTGGAAAATTACATTCAACGGTAACGACAAATATTATTTCATAAACGAAACTGGCTTTCTTGCCTTGCGCCTTTATGCTCTTGCGACATGTGGTTTCAATTATCTCCGCAGATATTGCACTAGTAACGAATCATCGGAGAATGCTATAACCTTTTATATGGGGCTAACTATGTCCGTACAGTAAAAGAATGAATACTTTGCGATCAAATGCTATCGCGGAATCGATCATTCGATGTTCCGTAGGCTCGTTTCTTAATACAATCTCGTCCAACGATGTTTTCTCGTCCTTCGAATTCTCGAACTCTCGAACCTGTTCCCCTCCATCGTAACGTTTATCGATTTTCCGCGAAAACTTTGCAAACGACCCCTCGAAAACTTCTCGAACCCTGAAAAAGCTTTCTCGGCGAAACTTCCCGTCAGAGAAACTATCTTTTCACGGAGAACCCTCTCCCTGATAAATACTTTCATCGAGTGTCGGTTAATTTGCATGTATACATAGAGATCGACCCTTCGTGAAGGGGATAAAACCTTCCACTCATCCTGGTCGTCTATCGCGAGGAACCCGGTGCAGGTACACGGGAGGAAAGAATCCGTTTTCCTGTTCAAGGAAGAATGAAAAGTAATTGCGAGTTGTGGGGAGGAAAAAGGGACGTTTCATCGACGTTCCATTATATTCTTTTCTACAAAAATTGGATACACCTCGCCAACGGTAAACAGGTATTATCGGTTCCAAGGGACCAGAGGCTAAAACTGACAATGAATCGGATTGTTGTTAAATGGACGAGGAAGTATCGTGCCCGATAAACGTTATAGTTCGAAAAACTTTTGCGTCATTTAACGCATCGATACCCGATAATTCCGTAAAACACGTAATCAAATTGCGAAGCTCTGCCGTAGACATAGGCAGAGGGCGACAGGCTTCCTAAGTTCAGAACAAGGTAGACAGTTTTCGGAGAACTTGGCATTTCTTTTTAAATCTAAATACCTAGTGGAGGCGAGGTTCTGGGTATCTGCGTTTTAAATGGTTGACTCAGCTATATTAGAAAGAGGTAGCAAGTCCTCCGAAAGTGGTCGGTCTAAAGTTGGGACGCCGGCTCAGCTTAACGCAGAGTCTATACTTATGTGTCTATCGGCTTTGCGTGCACTCTTCGGTCTTTCGATATCTCGACGGCGAACGGGATCGAATTTGTTTCGTCTTTTGGCGTCGCTCTCTCGATCGTATCCGCGCTCAGCACCCCACGGAACGGAGTGCACTTTGCGCTCTCGAAAGAGAATAAAGAGGTATGGAGGAGAGGAGGCTCGTCGACGATGTCTTGCGATGGCTCGACTGTTACATAATGTATCGCGGTACAAATCCGTGGAACGGTACGGTGGGTGGAAATTCTTGAAAAATACGAAAATTACGAACCGTGACTTCAACGATCCATTGGAAGGGAACGCGAAATTTCTGTTAACGCGCAAAAATGAAAGGACAAAGTTCGGCCGGCACGAGACCGGGTCGGTCGGGCCTACTGGAGCAAGTATACTTCGATTTAATCGATGCGCTCTCGGTACCTAAGGGAACCTCCCAATCCACTCCTCCCTCGAGGGTCGACCAACAACCCGGCCAGACCTGGCTCGAAGTCAGTGCCGGACGAGTGTGGGCGTCAACCTGAAGCTTGTACGCGGGCAGAGTTAATCAGGGAGCTATGGGAAACCGTCTCCGTCTCAGTTTCCGTTTCTCCTCTTCTCTCTCGCTCTACTTAGACAACCATCGTTGGTGATTTCGTTATCTTTGAACTCGATTGTCTCCGAGTCAACGTACCCGTGTCTGTAGTCCCGAATTTTATACTCGAAATTACCATTTTAGGACAGAATTCTGGAATACCGTGGCTTCGCGAAAATTGTCGTTTTCGTGCTAGGGAGGGAAATAGATAGAGATAGCGAGCGAAAGAGTTAATAATTCAATTTCTTCCAGTGCCTGTCCGTACAAAGCGGGGTAAAAGCAATCGACAAACTTTTATATCCGCGACAAAATGTCGCGACCAAGTTATTAAACAGCGAATTGCCTGCGACAGAGGCTCGAAATTCGATAAAATGGACAAAGGTACGTCGCAAAGGAACAGGGTCACCGAGTCTTGGGCGTGTCAAACGAACGGTGCCATCAAAATTCATCCTAACGACGGCATATTATATCGTAGAGATCTCGATATCCTGCAATCGGAAGGATCGTTTCAGACGATCCGCGAACGGATACCGCTGAATTTCATTTCAAACATGCACTTCCCTTTCGCCGGAAACTTCTCCCCAATCTCGGTGAATTATTAAGCGGATTCGAGTGTTCCATATAAATTACTTGCCCCACTCCCGAATCCCGTCATGGCCAAGCACGGGACGGAGGAAGCATTTGCATGCTGTCGGGCTACAAAGCCTCGGTATACTTTGAGCCTTTCGAAGCGCCTCGCCGTCAGGACAATCGATTTCTCCCGGCCGAGTAATTGAAACGGCGTGACACGACGCGACCTTAATGTGCATCGAGAGCTTCGATTTCAAGAAAGTTCTTGGTGATTTTCCATTGAACGCTCGCTTACCGCGACGAGAAGCCATCTCGGACGAGTTACCAGACGCGTTTCGAAATATGTACGGTTACCATAGTTAAAATCCCCAAACGATCGAAGGTAAGCAGAGCAGAATTTCAAGAATCGCTTGGATGCTGTAACGCGACGCCACGTTTCGTCCGGCAATTAACAGTTACAGCCGCGTATAACAGTGAAAACGATAGCGACTCTGTCTCGGTGTTAATTAGACGTGTAAAGAAGCACGTTCAACGTAAATCCGGTTTTACTCCCGCAATTCGGATCGTCGTCCTTCAGCCACAAAGAGGAAGAATCCGACGTGGCGTGGCGAGGCGGGGCGATAACCGGTGACGAAGTCGGGGCACAAATAGAAGGCATCGTTGTTGAACGAACGACGTTGTTCGGGCCGTTCGGGGTCGGCCCAGCGGCCCTACTTCCTCGTAAAAGTGTCGTCCGCGTGGCCGAAGTACATCCTATTTCTCAGCGTTAGCTAGCCGGGGATACGTGCAACGTATGTACGTGGCCCGTTCCACCGACCGTGGATTTTCAAAATGGCCTTACCGGATGCCAGTGAAAACGTCACGTACCACCGCCTCCCTCGAATATTCCACGGCAGGTTTACGAGACACCCGTCCTCTGAACTTTCCGCTAAAATCCTATGAAGTATAGCCAGGACCACGATGACGGACGACTGGCTGCCCTGAAACCGGTCCGATACACCTCCGACCCAGGAAAAGAATGGAGAAAAAGGGATCAACGTGGACCGGATTAAACCGAAAGGATGGCCATGGTCGCGGAAGCGAGCGGATCAGACCTACCGCACGCCTTCTGATATTCCATGGATCTAGGGTACTTGTTTCTTTACTTCTCGTGACAATTTACGATTTCGATGGGAAAAGCCGATCGAACGTGTTCTGCGGCGGTACGTTCTTCTCGATATTTATCGATTCGTTCGTTGTCTGTCGACGACACACATTACAAACGACAACGTTAAACGAGACCGAAAGCGGGGCTCCAGTAATATCGTTGGCGAGCGTATCGAGCAGCTGTTTGAAGTGGTCTTTTCCGGTTATAAAAATAAAATCGGTCGAACGAAGAAATTACTTCCGCAGACCGGCTTGCACCCGTTCGTACAAGACGTTGCGCAGAAAATTGCTTTTCGCTCGCGGCGGTATATATGTATATACCTATTCGTTCGGTTTGTCTCAGCGTGTCGACACTCGGAACGTCGCACGATCACCTCCAGCTTACGTTTTTAATTTCGTTTGTTTTCTCTCGCGCGAGAGCACGATATTAAACCGATACCAAAACTTCATTAAATCGACTTACTTGTTGTACAAAACAATGTCTGGCAACCATATATGCTCCGATGGCACGTGGAGGGTGTCGACACCGCCATAGTCGTCCGGATTCCACTTCAGCTTGTAATCGTTCCACTCCTGAAAACAGAAACGCGTTACAAATCAAAAAAACATGCATTCGGAGACGAATTTTCGAAGAGTTCCCGATCGAGAATTTCGGCAAGATCTACGGAGAAGCGCAGACAGCCGATCGATGTGGGAATCGAAAAACTTAATTAAAGAGGTATCCAATGCTATCGATCCAGACCTTCGTTTACGGTTAAATCTCTCACACGATTCCCCCGCCACGCTGTGCCGAATTCGATGATAAAGATCCCATCCCATACGTCGATCTCTATTGGGAGAAACTCGACTCTAGACAAATCCTAATAATTTATTATTAATTAGTCGAGATCAACTTTAATTTCAATATCACCTTGGACGGGCTCGACGAGATCAGAAACTTCAAGCGGATCAATAGAGTCCAGTCTCTGGCTCGCTACGCAAAGCAAAATTCACATTTCTTTGCTATCCAAATAGTAATCCCGAGAAAAGATAAATGGCACAGAGCACGTAATGCACGGCACGCTCGAACACAAGAACTCCAGAAAAATTCACAGCCGGCTCGCTCACTCCATCGAACTAATAACAGCAACGATAAATCACCGATGCACCCGCGAAATTTTCGAAAAGTTTCAAGCGCTGTTAAACGAATCCACGCCCCGTCCACTCTCGAATGGGTGTGGTGTTTCCGGCGCGTTCGCCGTCGACGTCATCGTTTCCAACGCCATGCATTGTCGAGCCAGCAACTACCGCCCTTGGATTCCCCGTGACCCCTCTCGCATCACGAGAAATCAACACGGCAGGCACGACTAATTGGTCGGTGCTGCTGCTGGAACCTGAACTGTTACACCAATCAGCTAGATCCGGGAGAAAAGTCTGAACTTCGCCGTGAGGATTCATCCGACTTTTTTCATCGGAACGGATCGTGCGATCGGACGAGATCAGACGATTAACAGGCGGGAAACGTAATTACTCCACCCATCGAGATCGCTTCCTACCGTACGGCCTATTCTTTCTCTCTCTGACTCCTTTTATTTTCAATTTTCCTGCGTACCAGAGTCGCGAAACACCGCGATGAAATCCGGGATAACAAACGATTTTTACAGAGTAGGTATTTGTGCTCCAGTAAACAGATCATGTCTGGTTCGCGTCGATCGCCTCTATCGAGAGTACGATAAACGCTCGGAAACTCAAGCGTACGCAAACCATTCACGGAGAAAATTTATTGATTTCCGAGGGCATAAATTATTCCGGTCGCAATTAACGGGGTTCGATGCTCGGTCAGACGTTCGACAAAAATCCGAACGCGCGCAATTCCTCTCGCGAATCTAAATCGATTACGACTGCGCGCACGCGAGACGACTTCGACTCTCGAGTTTTAAGTAAACGAGCTCGAACGATCGCTAAGTGGAAAACTTGTCCCCGAAACGAAGAACGATTGGCTCTCTGTTCCGGTGAATTTCGGTCGGAGACATAATTGACCTTTCATTTTTTGCCCCCGCAATCCGCCAATAGAAAGTCGATCGATAGCCTTCGCTGTGTATACTTTTCCGCAAGAAGCGCATCCTTTCCAGAGGAATACGGTCCGCTCGACTGTACCGTGCACACTGTCGAGTCGATTCAATTGCACCGGAGCAATTAACGCTACCTACCCCGATGCTACCCTGGTGCCGCGAGTGGCACACGGCGTGCTCATTAAAATAAACGACCGAAATTTCCTGAGGATGCTGCGAGCGCGTCGACGCCACACGTCCTGTCGGCGTTTTTTTCGAGCGGCCGCTTTCGTTCCTCCTGCTGGCCCGAGGATATCGCTAATTTCATGCTCGAAATCTCTAACCAATTCTCTACGATAGATCGACACGTGTCAGGGAAATCAGCGATAACTCGACGAGTGTTTCGTTTTACGTTCCGAGATACAGTGAGTGTAAAAAGTATTCGTACACCCTTTAAAACGGAACAACTCGTTTAAAATTGGTCCAAATGACTTGAGTTTTTTTGTGAAGTTAGAGACATTAATTTATTAAATGATGTGAAAAAACAAATTTGAAAAAGTTGCGAAGAAAATATTAAAGGTCGTGTTTTACAACTTTTTAATCTGAGGCTATAATGAAAATTTAATAAATACATATCGAAGATTTATGTTAGTTATGTACATACTGAAACTTTCATTGAAATCGGTTAATACAGAAACGAGCGACAGACACCAAATGATGTGAGAATTGTTAGATTTACTACAGTTGTAGATCGAAAGTCGGGAAAAACTGCGATTTTCAACATTTTTAATCGTTTGTATCTCGTAGCAACGTTAACCGATTTTGATGAAATTTTCAACATGTACATAACTGTAGGGTGTGAGATACGTGAGTTTAGTTTTAGATCGGGCGAGTGCGGTGCGAGTGAAGAGTGTTTAGGCCTTGTGACAGTTTCTTCGAACGAGAGTGCGTGCTAGATAAGATTGAATGAAAGGAACTGCGTCGAACGTCGTGATCGAAAATCGACACGAGGCGAGAATGTGTGAATGCGTGTGTGAACCTATGACCGAGTGTGACCATGTATGAAAGGGGATATATAAGAGGGAAGTTAGTCAGAGCGGGTGTAAGAGCTAGACTGTTGCAAGCGTGTCCTAACGAATTCTTTATACACATTTTATAATAAACCTTTTTTTTCTACCAAATACAACCACCACTTAATATTATTCCTACAAATTTTCATTATAGCCTCAGATTAAAAAGTTGTAAAACACGACCTTTAATAGTTTCTTCGCGATTCGGACCAATTGCAACTTTTTCAAATTTCTTTTTTCACATCATTTAGTAAATTAATGTCTCTAACTTCACAAAAAAACTCAAGTCATTTGGACCAATTTTAAAAGAGTTGTTCCGTTTTAAAGGGTGTACGAATACTTTTTACACCCACTGTACATGTACCCGTGGACGCGAACGAACCACCGTTCGGTAGACCCATCAAAATTTACCGATTCTCGACCGAACGATAAATCATGTCGTCGCGCCACGCTGGCACCGTTCCTATTCAGATTTCTCCACTCTCGACCGTGAAAGGTGTTCCGATACAAGGAGACCCGTACGACATCGCGACGTCGTAAAATTCCAAGCGATCGATGGGATCCGGAACGGGGCGAGAAAAAAAAAACTACGCCAATTTACCGGCAATACTTTTTTTCTACCGTGTGGAGATTGCTTTGGATATTGGTCTCGAGAGCTTTTGACGAATGCAGCACCTTTCCCTTCCGCCGCCGTAACGCATCGATCCGTGGACATTCCGGAACAGTATCTACATATTCTATTATACAGGGTATCACAGTATTGATGGTACAATCGGGCAGAGGGTGATTCTACCTGTAAAAATAATTCGAAAATATAGAATAAAGTTTTTTCATTCGAGACTACGTTTTCGAGAAAACAACTTTGACGATCTCTGGCTAGCGCGTCTGTTCATTGCATTCCTATTCTACTTACTACACGAATACACGCGTTTCGAATTAACGTTCAAAGCCGATTTTCTCGAAAACAAAGTCTCGAATGAAAAAACTTCCCGACGAGACACCCTGTATTTATAGCTGATTTTCGTGGCAGAGGCTAATTTTGCTACGTGGACGCGCGCGAAACGTTGAAATCCGTGGAACGTTCTACAAAGTGTTTTCTATAATAACCATCAGGATGCAAAAATAAATGACGCGACGAAGAGGGTTGATAGAGGCGAACGAAAAAAAAAAAACGGAGATTCGATATTTTTACTCGGTTACTGGACATCAACGCGCGAAATTAAATATAGTACGGGCGACGCAACAAACCGCGGTAAAAATAGAGCCGCGAATGCAAAGCGAAAATCGATCGTGCCGTTGTTAGAACGCGAAGCCTTTAGCAGCCGCACCCAGTTGTCGGGGCTCGCGAAACGTATCCACGCGAGTGGCGCAGAATGGAGCGGAGTGAAGCGGCGTGGAGCAGAGTCGAGCGGAATAGAGCGGAGCGAAAGCTGTCATGTTATCGGAAAGCTATCGGCCCCGAAGATTCGGCTTTCGTGCACGGAGGCCGAAATTGCGCTCGATTTACAGGGCTGTGGGTGAAGCGGAGGGGTTGGGCATCGCATCGAAGCTTCCGTGTAACCCTTTAAACTCACGGATATCTGGAAATTTGCGTATTTCCTGCTCGACATCGTGTGCAACCCTTCGCGGCCTGTTCCGAGGATTTTCGACGGATCTCCACTGAAAAGATACGCGTCTGGAATGTCAGAGAAGAAATTCGCAGCCGCGAAAGACGGCTCACGGTTGGCACGTCGAATATTGCCAGCTTATTTCGCCGTCTGAAGACGTCGAGTGCAAACGGGAGGCTGACAAACGGCTGCACGGAAACGTGCCACCAATCAGATTTCGTACAACGATGCCTACAAACGATTTCGAGGCGACTCCGGATAGCGCGAGTCGAGAATAGAGTTTCGATTCGTCACTAGGTCGTTCGGTATTTTTCGTACTTTCGGCTGGCGACGACGAACCTGATGCACCGAGTGTGGTACAAGTTCCGAAAGAATCTAAAAGAATCCAAAAGAATCCAAAAGCTTCGGAAGCTCCTTTGACTTCCAACAATCGCAAACAATTCGGCGAGTCTAGCGGTAAAGCGCAGCCACTTTGGTTGGCAGACCGAATCCGAATCCGTCGTTGAATCTGGGAAAACGGCGCGTCTTTCCGTCCTACGTCGCAGTTTGTTCTCGTTTGGCAAGCATCGCTTTTCTCCGGGCCGAAGCAAGAAAAAGAGGCGCTAGCTCCATTGACGCGGACAAACGATCGAGGCGGGAGCCAACCGAGAGAAAAATGGCAAGGAAAAGCCAACAGGCTGTGTGTCTCGGTGATCGCTTGGTGGCTGATTCGAGCGGACGATCGAGGAAAAAATTAGCCGAACGAACGATCCTCCGACTCTTCGTACCTCGACGCGCCTACTCAACGTCGCGTCGTCACGGGCGCGACGGACTTTTCCCGTCGAGGAGGGAATCGCGTTATCGGATGAAACCGGAGGACGACATCGACTGCGATTTCAATTACGATTCTTGGTCGAGATAAGCTTCGAAATCCGGCCGGATCCTTTCGATATCTTGTTCCGCGTGGGGCTGAAATTGAAATTGGGTTACGGACAAGAGGATTTCGAACGTGAATTTCGGAGACCGTCGATCCAAAATCCAATCAGATTTCTCCAAATGTAATATTTTGAAGAGCGAAACAATAGACCAGGAGAGAACGACGAGCGGTGATAGTAATTAACCAGAAGCCACGAAGAGCCGAAGATCGAAGAGATTGATGTTCGCGAGAGGCAGACAATACGGGATCAATTACCATCTCGCGAATCCGTCGACTCGTCGACAGGCACGGGAATTAAATTCGGCTGCTCTGAAATTGCAAACGTTCGCCTTGGAACGGAGGAGGCGGAGGAGAGTCGATCGGTCAAAGCGACGTTGCCCGGCTGGAGTTCCTCCTTTCCTATACCCTCGCTTCCATTCCCCTTGCTGCGCCGAGGTATCGTTATCGAGAAAATCGCGGTTCGCTAGTCGACTGGACTTTTTTTCCAATCGTTTTCGTCTCACGGCAACTCGTCCGTTCTAGGCGGAAGGAGCTGCAACCCCTTTCGACTACCGGGGATCGTTTCGCGAATCGAGAGCATCACGGTTCGTTAATTTCGAGGAGCAGATTCGCGGGGATAGAGCTCCTCGGCCGTCGGAGAAAATGGAAACGCGAGCATACATTTCGTCTCGACCGAGAGAAAGCCTGGACACAGTTTTGTTTCGATTCCTAAGCATGATTTTTCTAACACGTCGGTGAAAATGAATTCGGGGTGGGTGGGAATACCAACGAGAGCAGATCTAAGTACTTACTTGTTCCACCCAAACGTTCGTCGTCATGATCTGGTTCTTCAGGTTCTGAAAAAGAAAGCAGAACAATCCGAATGAAGATCGTATTTCCAGACGGCACTCCGCTGTCTCGAGTGATTCTGGTTACCGAAGGACTGATTTATTGGGTTTTCAAGATGTCTGGCTGAGGAGGGATTGAGGAGAGACAAACCTCTTGTGCATCGAAAAAACCCAGCAAATCATCTTTGCTTTGCTATCCACGCCAGTTTTATCATCGTTGCTTCGTGAACGCGAGAATACAAACTTTTCGAAGAATCGTTTACTCCCGAACGCGCAGTGTACTCTCTTGAAAAATGTGTCACTTGAAAATATGGGCTGAAAATTTTGTCGTGTCCTGTTCGGATCATTTCTCACACTAGACCCCTCTCTCTCTCTCTCTCTCTCTCTCTCTCTCTCTTCCTCCCTCTGTCTCTGCGAGAAGTGTTACGGTATCCAAGAGCGTTGCTAACTTGCGACGCGATCGATTTGATAGCGGTAGAAAATATCGGTGTAACCCGCGGGACACAAGAGTTCAACGAACTCGTAGATCAATGATACCGCACCGTCAATGATCAGTATCTCGCGCTACACTGACTCGATTCAATGCTCGGTGCCGATCGAACGATAGAAATTGAAGTCGACAAACGTCATGCTAGTTACGATACCATCGTGCTTGGTACCCATAATCATGCCCTATACTTTGTACGCGTACGCACACGCACGTGTAAGATCAAACAAACACCTATTATTATGAAATTTATTGCGATGTGGTCACGTGAATTGTTAAATCGGCGCTGGTCAAATTTACCTGCCACAAATGGTGGTCTTTTCTATAAGACTCGCGTTGACCAAATTGCAACAAAATCGATGATATTATATACTCTCCCGGCAGATAATTCAATTTCCGCGTAACAGAGGTGATTTAACAACGATGATAATTATGATCATTATCTACGCCTGACATTCAGTTCGAACGAGTTTACGTGGACGTACGAAAACGAGAACGAGGAAAGTCATAATAAATACGATCTAACGGGATTTACTTTTATTCCACAGACCGCGAGTATCGTAAAAAAAAGCGGGGGTCGTTAAGAATGCGCTGAACGAATCCTTCGATCCAGCAATTAGATTTCTGTTTTCAACAAAGGTTTCCCTTTCCTGGCTGACGCGGATTTACCGAAACGTCGCGTCGCTTCGCATCTCTCGTCACATAGCTGAGCACCTAGGATTCACCGTTACGGTCCAGAGATGCTTCCAGCCCTCTAGTTTCCCCAGAAAGCTGCATCGCAGGACAGGAAATAAGAGGATAGACCGAGATAAGCCCTACCGGACAAAATCTACGACAGTTTTCGCGGAGAGGCGAGAGTTATGGGTTCCGAGAAGGATACCGTCGCCTCACCCGGATTCGAAGAGACTACCGCCAGCTTCGCAATTACACTCGCGGATCCTCGAGTTCACTCGAGTTTTTTCTTGTAAAGTTAGTTTCTCACTTTCACAAGTAATGACTATTACTTCGACACTAACAAAAAACACTTCTTTCAATCTTCTGTGTTACACTCACTATATGTATGTACAACTGTGACTTTCTCCTGCTTTTACCGTTCGGATCTATTTTGGATTCAGAATCCCACTTCTGAAATTGTAAATCTATGTTTATTCTTAGCGCTTTCCTTACATCAAAACGACTGCCGTGAATCAGGCACGTTTGGCGGTCCGGACCGTCCGTTCCCCCTCCATTTCCACTAAAACAATAGATTGCGCCGTGTCGCACTGGTCACAGATCCTGTAACCTTTCATTTCGGATCCAAGGACGCAAAGGGTCGAAAAATTATTCGAGAAGATACAGGCGTCATAATACATTCGGCTGTGACCTAAGTAGGTACGACGGGATATAAAATCGTATTTTGTTCATTCCTATACTTTTACATCACGAACCGAAGACACGTTCGACTATATTATTCGACTATAGCTAAAGCATTAAGTACCTTAGGTTATATTAATAGGGTTTTGGAATATTTTAGAAATTTCAACACGTTGATTATGTTGTATTGCTCACTAGTCAAACCCCTTCTGGAGTATTGTTCTACAATCTGGTCACCTTATCACCAGTGCCACATCGCTTCTTCAGAGACTGTCCAGCATAAATTTCTGCGTTTACTAGCCTATCATACTGGTATCTCCCTATGACTTGCCACATCTACGATGACATTTTATCTCAGTTTAATTCAAGAACTTTGGCAAACAAACGTAAATTGCTGGACATTATTTTCGTAAATGTGGTTCTCATTGGCCGCGTAAATTGCTCGGAGATTATAGAACTGTTAAATTTTCATGTACCATCTCGAAGCTCTCGTTATCACAACCTATTTTATATCAAAACTCACCGTACTCAATAAGGCAAACTTGGTTATTTCGATCGTGCTTTGAGATTTGCCAACGAATTCTGTAACTCTGTCAACATGTTTAATCACTCTCCGTCAACATTAAAGAATTCGTTCCTTCGTATTGTCAATAATTAATTTTAACTATATCATTTATTTCCATTTTTCTCTTACTGTTATAACTCTGTACTAAAGGGTATTTATCCCGTTAATAAATTATTATTATTAATATTATTATTATATACGGTACATTCTACTGTTCCTGTAACATTTACGCGCCCAGAGAACTCTTTGGTCGGCTACTTTCAAGCAAGCAGTTGTAAAAGAAAGTAGAAACATTTTCCTGTGAGGTGGGTGTCTGCAATTTCAGCCCCGAGAATACCAACAGCACACCCGGAACGGTTGGATTATCTGAAAAAAGATGTACCGCGTAAGTGCATTCTCCGGTCCGTTGATTGGGTGACAATCTTGAACGGAATACTCGGAGGGAAAACACGAGCCGGCTATTTACGCGTAAGCGGACTAATGTTATGGAAATTGAATGCCGAAAGAAAACAGAGGGGTCTGTCTGCGTCGAGCGACCTCCGAAGACGAAATGGAAGAATACGAGAGAAAGGTTTCCTCGTTCACCCCGCCCTATCTACGGCAACGTACGACAACCGATGCTCCATACGTAACGCTAATACATTCGCCACGATCTACTTTCCGCCTGTTACACCATATCTACTGCTTCTTCTTCTTCTTCTTCTTCTTTTTCTTCTTCTGCTTCTCTGTCGCGCTAAATTTCAGTTTCACTTTCCCGGCCTCGATCCATCCTATTCGCCCAAAGGCCCCTCTTAACCGTGTTTCCTCGCACCCCAACTCTTATCTACCAGTTTCAACCTCCTCCTACCCTGTCCTTCCCATCGATGTCGTTTCCCTGGTATCGCTTCTATCTATTTACCAGTTTACGTGGCACATTCAGATCGGTCGGGCGCTCGTGTGCGCACCAAATTCCGTGGCCGAGCGCCTTAACGACACCTCGGAGAAATTTTCAAGAAGCCGTACAACCGGATCGAATCGAACTGGAACATACCGCGCGGAACCATTCTTTCGGATCCTTACTGTCTCTATCCGCCAGCCCTGGAGATACCGTGGGAAATTTTCAAGTAACGAACGCTCGAATTCCTTTCGGCTACGACTGCGAGAATTATGCACCAAGAGTGTGCATAATACATTCCTTCGTTCGCGGAGTCTCGGGAAGCTTGGTCACCGGCGAGAAAATATTCAGAAGGGGCGTGGTCCGACGAGTAAAATGTTGCCTCCACCATCGGAACTTCTAGCACCGGCGTAATTCCGTTTCAGCTTTGTAACGCGATATAATACGCCCGCAACTGGAGGTACTATCGTCAATTCCATCGATGCCACATCCGCCAATTACGTAAATTACTTTACCGAGGACAATCGTGGCCGTGAATCTGCGTTCGAACAGTTCCCCGATAATATCCGAATTACGCCCACAGGGTTAGGTTAGGCACGAGGGTAGCAGAAATCCATGATACTTCGAAAGTGGCAGGGTCGTGGAGGGGGACCACGAGCAAACAACGAAACCATGAGCACGAAACTGAACATTGATTTATTTACATGGGATAGGGGGATCCCTGTTCCTTTGACGAATCGAGCCCGATCGTTTGGAGCACGAAACCTTAGTTCGGCGCCTTCCGGGATCACAGTACAGGGAGGAACGGCTATGAGAATTCCTTCTAACGTCAGCAACAGAGAAGAGAAAAGAAACGCCTCCGGATAAAATAGAAATGGGCACTCTTGGTGTTGGTTCCGGCTACGTGGATACCACCGACTATGGTGGCAATTTGTTCTCCGGAATTCTATCGACAATACACCCCCTACCATCCAACCCCCTCCCCGGCCAAAATTAAACGCCGCATTCGATGTTTTATCTACGCTGGTTCGTTCTCCGACGAATAGAAAATGCGGTGCATACTGCGAACTTTTAGCAAAATTATGCAATCCATCGGGGAGTAGACCGCGTCAGGATTCTCAAAGTATTCGTGTAATGGAGCGAATATTTTGTGAACGGTGGCAAAGCATCACGCTAGCTACTGGACGTAAACGAGTTTTCTCTGTTATTACACAAGCATAAAAAAGGAAGCTATCTCGAGGGAGCGACCACGAGGGGCGTTTCCCGGCTGTTGTCTGGAAATTAGGAGAAGACGAATAAGAGCAAAAACCGGTCCATCCGTCGGGCTGAATCTCCCCTCGTGAACCGTAGCTTCGAGGGTTTCTCGACGCGTCGATGAAAACGCGAGACATTATGTACACGATTAATCATCGCCGATGAAGGTTCAAGCGAGAAGAGTTTTTTTTTGAAACTAAAGTCAGTTCGGTGGCTTCTAGTCTCGGTAATAGGAGTAATACTATGCACTCGTACCATCCATGGTATATTTATAAGTGAGACGAACAGAGAGGCGAGAACAGGAACTCGATCATCTATGTGAAACACGACGAGCTGCGAAGGAAGTTACGTCGTATATCGGTTCGTGGTTTCCCTTATCGATCCCTTATCTGTCGAGACTAAGCGATTTTCGAACATCTCATCGACAAGAACGAGCTCCAGACTGCCGATAAAAATGGCTGACCAGCTGGTGCGAA